TACAAAAGAGTTAATGCTTTCTGACCTTCCTGTAGTTGTTATTCTAGCAAAAAAATATCCACGGAGATACGCGGGTACCCAAAAGTGTCTCATCTCATAAAGGCCAATAATATGCTTATTACTTTCCATTTTATATTCTCCAACTACTTGCTGCCCATTGATACTCAAATTGTTCTCGTGTGTCAAGCCTATATAAACCGTAAAAGCTGGCACACCATTTTGGATATTGTTCATGAAGGAGTGCGGTGAACCAACTGCTGAACTTGGAGGTGATGGTGCCATATACAAAAAGCGTGTTTAGTTAATGGTATCACTTCCAAAATACTACGTGTCATCCACGGATCTTGATCCGTCAATATTGTCTTAGGAGGCTTCTTCTCAATGACACAAAAGTCTACAAAGAAAAAAGTAATATAAGTGAGAAATTGATAAGAAGGATTATAATAAAATGTTCAATCTATCGATTTTAAATAGCATGATATATACTAAATAAATAATAGCACAAGAGACAAAAATGAATAGACAAGTTACCTTCATTAACCAAATGCACTAGTAGTCTCATTACGAAGAAGAGCACACCCAAATAAAATAGTCCTCCCATGATTGTCAACCCCAACAAATATACCAAATGGCATGTCATATGCATTAATCTTGTAGGTAGTGTCAAATGTCACAACATCTCCAAATTTTTGGTACCAATCGTAGCATTGTGCTGTTGACCAAAAAATGTGCTCTAATCTTCTTTCATTGTCAATTGTAAAAGAGTACTGAAAGTTGTTATTTTCTTCTTTAGCAACTTCACGATACTCCAACAAATCATTGATATCATTGTTCATTTCATTGCTACTAATCCGACTATAAAGATTATGGACATCTTTTGATTGAAAAGAAAGATAACCATGACTCACATTGTCTTCAAGCTCCATCACACGCATAATTTGTCGCACGGGAATTCCAGCTTCTTGTAGCAATAATATACAATTCTCATTTTATTTTGAGATAGTGCGATAAGAAGGGAGAAAACGTACCTCATCATTAGAGAGCATTTCATGATTATGTACTCCATGAAACTCAACAATATGCCATTCCTCCGGAAATATATCATTGAATTTTTTTAGTGTAATTCTCATATGAGCTTTGCATTCACATCTTGTTGATGGACGATTACGTTGGTCCTTTGACGGGTCGAGAATTTTCATGGTTGTTTTCCAGCTCGATGACAAACGAAGTCACGTCTTTTAATTTCTCCTTTCTTGTTCTTATCGAAACGAGATTTTCGAACCGAAAAACCATTTTTCTTGGCATAGTTTTGGTAAAACTCAAAAGCTTGTTCCTCGGTTAAGAAATATTGGCCAATAAAGGGTTCATAAACATCGTTATCAACATGTTCTCCATCTTGTAAGTGAGCTTCCGTATCATTAGAATAATGTTCATCTTTAATACTTTCATGTCTCAAGAGATAATGCATTTCATCAACTCTAGAAATCGTGTTTCTCATTTTGCAGCTATGAAAGTCAACATGTCAAAGGCTTATGACAGAGTAAATTGGTTATTCCTGCTCAAGGTTCTCCAAGCTTATGGGTTTCCTCCAGTTTAGGTTCAATGGATTTCTCAGTGTATCTAAACAGTTACTTTTAAAGCTCTTATCAATGGGAGAACCTCGGATTCCTTCACTCCTACTTGTGGTCTCCAACAAGGTGATCCTCTCTCACCGTACTTATTTTTATTTTGTATGGATGTCTTATCTCGTATGTTACTTCTGGCTGAGAATATTAATTGTCTACGAGGGATTAAAATTTCAAGACAGAGCCCCTCAATTTCCCATATTTTTTTTGCGGATGATGCTTTGTTCTTTTTAAAATGTTCGGAGGAGTCCTGGTACTATAGAAGATATCCTTTCTAGATTCGGGAAGGCGTTCGGTCAACAAATTAATTTTGCAAAATCCTTCTTCAAATTTAGCCCTTCTGTGTCTCCGGAGTTAGCAAATTATTTCAAAACTATTCTCCGAGTTCCCATTATTGATAACATGGGAAGCACTTGGGGGATCCTATCGACCTATCTGGGAGGAAAGCTTCTTTCTTCGTGGATCTTGTTGAATGTTTTAAGAAGAAAATTATGTCCTGGGCACATTGCAAACTTTCGGAAAGTGCCAAGCTCATTCTTGTTAACTCTGTCCTTTTGGGTATGGTGGCTTATGTTATGAAGACCTGCAAGCTTTCGATGTCCATCTCCAATAAATTGGACTCCCTTATCACTAGGTTTTGGTGGGCTAAAAGTGTAGAGAAAGGCATTCATTGGATAAACAGGCAACGAGTTCAACTTCCTAAAGGCATGGGGGGTTTGGGGATCCGCTCTACTAGCATTTTCAATGAGGCCCTACTATTTGAAAATATCCATAGAATGCATACGAATCCTCAACTACTTGCTGCTAGGATTTATAATGCAAAATCTGACTGTATCTTTTGTCCGACTAGTGACTTGCGTAAGCCACCTCCAACTTCTTTTTCTTGGGTTAGAAGGATAATGCACTCCCTAGCAAAATGAGGAAGGGTTTTGCGTGGAAAATTGGGTCTGGTTATAATGTGTTAGCTTCAAGCTCTCCCCGGGTCAATAATAAAGTTCCAGTGGTGAATTCGGACCAGAACCTTAGACAAAGTGCTTTATGGAAAGTAAAGGATTTTATCACTCTTACTCGTTCTTGGAATGTGGGAGTTGTTAGAGAACGGTTTGAGTGGGATAGTGCACAGGAGATTTTAACTATCGATCTTCCAAAGGAAGAAAAGGAAGACTTCTTATATTGGCCTTGGCATAAAGCAGGAAACTACATTGTTAAAACAAGGTATGCCTTTCTTGCAAACCTTGGAGGAGGGAGAGAGGTCCCCCCCCCCTAGAAAAGAAATCTATGATTTCTATAGAATTTTACAGCACCTGGAAATTCCCCTAAAATGGTGTATCTTCATGTGGAAGCTTGCTGTCAATGGAATCCCTATAAGAGCTAATCTTCGAGCAAGAGGAATTATCACTGACACCTTATGTGACTATTGCGGTGTTAAGGAGGAGGATGGTTTTCACCTTTTTCTTTACTGTTCTATAGCTCGGTATGCTGGGGACAATTGCCAAATTCCAAACTATAAAAAACCTACCGGCTCCATTTCTCTTCAGGATTGGATCCGAAGTCATATTCTGCTTTTTAATAGTCAGGATGGAATTCGAAGTCATCGCATTCAGGCCCTAGTGGCTACTCTGTGGGCTATATGGATTACAAGGAATAAGCGTATTTTTCAAGGAGAAAATGGGTACTTGAGATGTTAATTTGGAAATCTTAAAGAGGCTTTTCTCCTGTTACATGACTTTACTAGGTCGTATACCGGACTACAGGGCTTGGGACCTCCTATTGATTTGTCCTTTACCCCCCCCCCCCCCCGAGGTTTTTACAGGCTTCTTTAGGACAACTGGATCATGTCCTACTTTTCAACGACTCATTAGCTCTAAATACTATTCGAGTTGATGGCTCATGGCATAAGGCTAGTAAACATTACGGGGTCAAATGGACAATAGAGCTACAAAACCATGGTGAAATGGAGGCAAGAGGTTTCTCTGGAATTGCGGCCTCAGCTTTGCAAACTGAGTTTTGGGCTTGCCTTTAAGCTTTAAGGTGGGCCAGTGATAATGACTATCGGTCAATAAAAGTTTTAACTGACTCTGCATTACTTGACACGGCTATTAGGAGCAAGAGTCCCTCGGATATTCACCTTTTTTTGGACTTTGAAGGAGATTGTTAAGATCGGAAACACTTTTCAACATTGCGTCATTCTCAAGGTTGATAGAGCAGAAGTCCATATCCCCCACCAAATAGCTAACCAGTGTCGGGTTACTTTGAATAGTTTCTCTATTTCTGCTATTTTTGATGCTTTTTAGTTGTTTTAATTTTTTCTTTGTTTCTGCTGTTGTCAAAAAAAAAAAAAAAGAATAATTTTCATCTTCTAGTGGTATATTTAAATCAAAAGAGGTTCCAATTGGCTCAATAATATTTATATTGAAATTAATATTTGAATCCATTTGTCAATATAATAATTAAAAAAATAGATTAAAATTAAATCACATAACATAGAAATTTACAAAAGTAAAAACCATACAAAATATATAGTTATTTTAGATTACCTGATTAATGTCTTGATGTTACTATTGCATAAGTTTAATCACCAAAAATATTTTGCCTTATTCATTGAATTAGAATTTGTTATATACACTTGGCTGTACCATATACCCGGGGTCATTTACTCATTTATTGATTGAATGAGCAAATAATATTTTTACTCATATATTGATTGAATGAGCAAATGACCCCGGGTGTACGTAATAGACTTTCTCCTTGAATGCAAGAAGAAAGGATGTAGTAGTATGATTCAATATATAATAGGAGGGATGTGTCAAAAAAAAAAAAATGTATAATAGGAGGGAGGATGAAAAAATCAGGTGCCAATTAGCTCTGTAAAACAAAAAAGTTTGGCAAATTATTCAATTTTATAATGTAATGTAAATTTTTAGCGGTTTCGTAATAAATAGAAAAAAAATAAAAAGGAATAATTGTATGCTTGGAGTAGTAGTACTATATGTATATGGGTGAGGCTTTATTTATTTATTTATTTTTAATAAATAGTTTTATTAGGATGTAGACTAAAATAATTGAATAATATGTTTGGAAAAAATGTGGTAAATCTTGTTATAGAGGAAATAATGAAGATTTTATTATTTTTCCAAATAATTTTTTAAACCTACCTTTTTTAAGATTGTAAATATTCTTCATCATCAAATATAGGGAATTTGTTGTCTTAATACTCTATATTATAAAAAGTCCTATTTTGGACCCCACTCTATAAATTTTTTTAAACTTTGTGCACGCCCTATTATTACGATTTATACGAAATGAAGGAGTATAAAGTGATTTATTTCTAATTTCAAATCCGTTAAGGATTCATAATTGAACGATGATATTACGACAGCCCCATTTATTTATTGGACGGATATGACCCATTTATAACCGGGGCGGGTCAAGGCTTTCAATGGGGCTTCAGACCATTGAATTGCTCTAATTGTCAATAAGAAAAGAAAAAAAAAAAAACGAACGTAGCCCTACCTTCTCCTCCTCTCTCTCAGTTCTCCATTGAAGCGTACTTCACGTTCTCCATTGAAGCGCACGTAACGTCCTCCATTGACGCGCCTTCTAATACTTGTACCCCCCATTGAAGCAATTTCTGAGGTAAGTTCTTGTTCCTATTTGTAATCATCATATCAATTTCACAATCTAGGGTTTATCTTTGATCTAAAATTTATTTAATTTAATTGTCAGTGAGTAAATTTAGGGTTCGAAAATTTCAACTGTTGGTTTTAATTACCAAGATTATAACCAGTGATTATGTTGCTAGAAAAGAAAATTATGAGCTTAATTTGATAATTGAGTCAATTGTCCCTAAAATTATGTGATTTTTCGAGATTTTTTTGATAATTGAATCAAATTTGGTTGCTAATGTATTGCAGAACCCTTTAATGTTAGGATTGAACTATGTAATTAGACCTCTTCTCGGCTGTTATAAATGCATGATTGCGAAGTATGAAGTTTGTTAAGAGTGTATGATTGTTATTGACTGCATGTGGTTAAAATTGCGGTTGATGATGTGTAATGCAGATATTAAATTTTTTGGTTCATGCTTGGTGTTGATTGAGTAGTCTAATGGACTTGAATGTCTCACCTTCGCCGGAAGAAGATGAAGAGTATTTTGAACACCAGTTTGAGGAAGATGTGGCGAGACATGATAACGTAGAGACATCTGTTCAAACTCTTCGCCGGGTATGCTGAACTCTGTACTTGATTGATTGAATTTTTCTTCTTTGATAAATAATTATCTGATGAGGAGAATAGACAGTTCTTGTATTTGCACTTAATAGTTTTTGCCTGTGCTTTCAGTTTTTTTTTTAAAAAAACTAGAATTTAATTTAAAATTTACTTGTTTATTTTGTCCTAAAATTTAATTCTATTACCCTATTTACAGCATAATTACACTCTCACTTTCACTCTTCCCCATTCCCATTCTCTTCATCATATCAAGACTTCAATTGTTATTAAAAAAAAAAAATTAAAATTCTTTGTTCTCCCTAGTCAAATTGAAAAATAATTGAATATTTTATTCTATTTGATTATGGTTCTCAATGTTTATTTGATTTCGTCATATTTTTTTTATTCTATTTGATAAATTTTATCTTAGACACTTTATAGTGCTATGTCAAACATTCGATTTATTGTGTCGGTAGATTTTTTTTCCCCTTTTTATATGACTATATGCATGTGTACTAAATTTTGTTTGGAGAGAGATGATGTGGAGATGATGTGAGTTTAACTTAGATGTGTGGATTAGCCCCTATAAATGTAAGATAATGATAAAGATAATAACTCAAACATGTATTAGTCTAGAGGGAAAGAGATTAATCTTGCATTTATGTAAGTAAGTGAGACTTAACTATTCCTTATTTAATTTGGTTGGGCAGTGATTGAAGATGTAATTATCTTGGTTGCCTTTTTAGTGTGTATGACGTGGCACTATGATTTATATTAGTAAATGAGACATAATCATCCGTTATGTAGCTTTATCGGATGATGATTGAAAATGTAATTACCTTTTTTTCCTTTTTAGTGTGTATGACATGGCTCTACGCGAGAAGAATATTTAGGTTTTAGAGCCCTCACATTCATCCAGCTTTACTTTAATAATATATAGATTTGAAATGTTGAACCAAGCTCTCACATCCCACTTTATGCATCTATGCTAGTGTTTACCTAACTAAAGTACTCTGATGAATATATGGACCTAGATTACTTACAAGGTCTTCTACATGATGAATGTTAGTTGTAAGATCATCTTAAGGTAATGGGTTTGCCAAAGCATTTCCTAAATGGTGATATTATTGATTTTATGACCCTTGATTTTCTTTTGTCCTTGACTGTTCATAGTACAAATGAGATTTCAAGTGCTCATTGCGTATGATTGATGGTGGTGTAATTTTGATCATTAAGACAGTGGAGCGTCTTTTATCCATACTTGCTTATCTTATGATTTTATATTACTGTATATGGTTGTTTGCTGAGGTAAGTCTTGTGTACTTACTACCAAGATTCCTTGGTTTATTTTGTGACCAATGCTATGATTTTTTATTAGAATCGAAACTTTGATCTTCCAAAAAAATCCGATTAACCAGAGATAAGAGTTTGATGGTCAATATCCATCACACTTATGTTTTGATGTAGATGTAGTTATTGGATAATGTCAGCCAATCCCAATGGGTATAGGATTAGGGTCAATTAATAAAATTTGTTTTTGGACAAGGCTCTGAATGGGTAGGATCTTTATTGGACATGGTCAATAGAAGGCCAAATTGATAGCCAGATAATTATATAGAAGAAAATAGATAAGGCTTGATAAAATTTGTGTAGTGTTTACTATTTTCAACTACTTACTTTTGTCTCCCTCTCTTTTTTCTCTTGCTCATTTATCGGCTCACCCAATAAAGACCCACGACTTGCTTTTGGCCCTTTACAAGATGACCAGCTATTACCCGCCTCGACCGCCTAATAACTAGGTCTACATTGTGCAATGGCCTATAAATAGAACCATGACGATATTTTTAGCCCAACCTATCAGTTGCTATATGACTCCATCCTCCCCCCTAAGCTTTTGCTTTGATTCCTCTTTTCCTACTACGCTCCATCCTTTTCTTCTCCATTGTGCGTGTGTGCTCAAATTAATAGGTTCACATGTTTAAGGATCTTCATTATTGTCTCTCCTCCCACTCATTTATCTCATTTTCAAGTTTTTTTTGGTTATCTTTGCCATCTAATTATATTTACTTTCCTGCAACCCTACATGCTGAAAAGAAGTTTAAGTCCTATTGTTGCCTGTGCAATTGTGCTAAAAACATCCAGGACTCTAAATTTTGCGAATTGAGAGGCAGAATCACAAAAGACTCTTATAAGTCTTATTACGTGTGGCTACCAGCCTTTCTCCAGCCTGAAACCCAAAGGGTTGAAGTCGAAGGAATTTAATTTAAATATCTAATAGCCCATTCCAAATTTTTTTAGAAGAATTTGAACAGGAAATCCATGTGCTCCAATGATCAATAGCATATTTTTTGTCGAGCCATTTGCCTATATAATATTACTTTATAAGGATCCTTCTTTTAATTGTCATGGCTGTTTAAACCCAGCTCTCTTGTCATGGGCTCACTTCATGTAGCAGCCATTTTTATTGAAAGAACACTGCAACAAGAGGGGAAATTTGTAAAAATTTTATACTATACAAAGTACAACATACCAATTTGTTGAGGGACACTGAAGCGTGGGAATGAAAATGGGCATTGAGGCTATTGCCATTTTCTGTATGTACAATATGTGGGTGGGTTATTTTTTCATTGTTGCTGCTGTACCTCCCTTGAAATGCTTTTTTAAAGATTCATTAAAAGTAGATAAGGTTGTGTGCATCTTGTTCTCCTCACACCTGACATTGGTAGGATCTTTACTTGGTGGTGGTAGTATAATTATTCTTTGTCAATTTGGGGCCTTGTGTTGCTATTATTCTTTTCCCTCCTTTTCTTTGTGACTGGAAAAAGGAAGAGGAGGTCTTAAGCTAAACAAATTCGTTGAAATCTTTTGATGCTGTAACTACTTCTAAAAATTTGAAACAGTGTTGTGATGAGATATTGTTGTCTAATATCTTCGCCTAAAATGGGATTGCCATTTATGGATCATTTTTATAGCTGTCAAATACAAGTCTTGTTATTTATGTGTCTAGCACTCTTTCTTGATATCTGGTTGATGATTCAGCCTTGTTTTTTTTTGGGCCTTGATAAACTCAGTTCAACTGTTATTGTTTAGGAGCGTGAAGAAAGACGGGAGCGAATAAGAAGAGATCCGATAGATGATAGACCAATGCGCGTAACCAGGCCCTTGGAGCGTGATGAAGGGCCTATCTTGAAGAAGTTGAAAACTGACAGAAACAGGCTACCCCCTGGTAAGCTTCTCCATGCATATAGGTTATCAACTGTATCATGTTCAAACCTGGGCTAAATTTGGAATTTATTTTTGGTTAAATTTTACTGTAGTCCATATATTCTGTAAGTCTTTATTAAAGTGCTACACTGTTACCCTTGGTATTTGTAGATTTCTTTTTTGTAAATAATTTTTTGTAAATAGTTTAATATATGATTGTGGAGGTATTTGCGCAAGATAAATGAACTATTTAGAATTTATGGCTGGCAATATGTTAAATGGTTATTTATCTGCATGACCTGCTTACCTAGCCTTTCTTATTATATTTTCTAATACATATTGTTGTGTATAAACAGGTTGGCTGGATTGTCCAAATTTTGGTCAGGAAGTTGGTTTTATTGTCCCATCTAAAGTTCCTCTTGATGAAAGTTTTAATGATTGCATCGGTCCAGGCAAAAGATATTCTTTCCGTCAATTGTTTCATTTAACAAGAGTGAAGAATATCAAAGTAAGATATTCAAACTAAACTATATATTTTTTTGTTTATTTACTTTTCTTATCTGACGATAATTCTTGAGTGTGTAATGAATTCTTGTCTAGCATATGGACTTTCTAAATTGGAAGTGTGTATGTTAACTTGTTGGTTTAAATTTGTCAAGTACATAAAATTTGACTTTTTGAGCATTGATTTGACGCGTTTTGATAGGTTTTTACTAGGCTTATTGGGCAGAAATAGATTCGTTTAATGTAGACTTAGGGTTTATTCTTGTAAAAAATATTCCTTTTCAAATTATTTAAAAAAAAAAACTTTTTCAAAGTGAAGCCATTTAGTCTTTTTGTTTTGCCCCCTTATTTTATTCCTTTGTATTTTACAGTATGGCATGTCCTTTGAGAAAAGTTGAATGACATATACTTGTTTATGATTTGAAGAGTGAAGGAAGATATTTAATTGGGTACTCTATGGCAGTATTTCTAGTAGTGCCTAAGGCTTTCTTGTGGGCTCCTGTTGTGATCAATCAAATGATAGACAGATACAATTGATACGTTTTGTTTTCGTATTTTTTGTGTTGATACTTAAATAGCTGTAGAGAATACACCCAATTTATCTGATGGCCAGATTTCTATAGGATTAGCTAGTGTTCCTGCACATTATCTGGTTGGATTAGGAGTGTCAAATCAAGAAAAGGACTCTTGATTAAGGGATGGATGAGAGACAATGCTGAAAAAGTTAAGTGGAGGTAGAGTGGGCTGGTGGGCAGCTGTGATGATCGTGACTAGATAACTACGTTATATAGGGTTTTAAACAAATTTTAAAGGTTGGATTCTATAAATAGTATAAAATGTTTATTTTGTTGTTGCATGGTTGACATAGAATCACATAAAATTTATTTGTGACTTAGAAATTTGGTTGTTTAATAAGTGCACAGCAAATTCACACTTTGTTGAATGTTCATACCCATGTAGTCACCCCATAAGAGGTTTCTTTTCTTTTTATTTTATTATTTTATTTTTTTTCACGTCATAAGAACTGATACTTCACTCCAAAGGAAGTGTAACTAATTATAAAAATTGGAGAGGTGGGGGGGGGATGGGGAGCTTTAGAATCACTTGGGTTGCAGCCAAGATTTTGACCGTCCGACGAGAATACTGTATTTTGTAATTCAGCTCCATTTTATCAACAATCGCAACTATAACAAAGCCTTAGTCCCGGAATGTTTTGGGGTGTGCTAACATGAATCGTCCGACAAAGAAAAAAGGACATAACAACTTAACCTGTTGAAACAGTTTGAAAAAGGTGTGCAAAGTGAGAAAAAGAAATCTAAGAGAGCTTTACAATAGTACCAAGAATAAGTTTAAGAAAGTTTTAAAGGAGTGGTATTGGTTAAAACGTGTGAGTAAGAAATAGAAGAGCAACTCCAGTGGTGGTAGCTCGGGACTTGCTTGCAATTTAGAAAATTCCCTAGCTATTAGCTTAACTATTGGAGCTAAAAAATCAAATTAGCTTGGTCAAGCCTGGAGAAAAAACTTGCCAAAAAGGTGGGTTGATACATTAATAAAATAAATGTAAAAAGCTAATTAACAAATTAAGGCTCAATTAAATCACAAGCTACTAGCTGTCCATTAAATAACAAAGTAGCTACAAAAGAGATTAGCTTAAAATCTTATGTGGCATAACAAAGCTAATTTGTTCATTAGCTTCCATTGGAGTTGCTCTAATGGTCTTGTGAAAACTTTAGCTAAGGAAATAAAAAATGTTTATAAAACTCGAATTGATTAAATCATTAAAAGTAATTGCTAACATAAAATATACAAAAGTACTTTCTTCATTTCTTATTTGTGTAGCATTTGCCAAAAACGGATGTTACAAGTTATGTACAACAAAAAAAAAGTTTTCTTCTATAGTAATATTTAAGTTAAATTACCAACAACCCTACTTCCATTCAATACTTATTAACCTTACTTAATCATCCCTTAATAGAAACTAACCCACACTTTCTTTGCTCCCTTATGACCACATCCACCACCTACACCACCACATTTTCACTCTTCTCCCTCACTTTTACCCCACCTTTCTCTTATCCCAACCACCATACCACCACCACCACCACCACCACCATATTTTCTCCCCCCCCATAACCACCACCACCACGAGTCGTCGCGGCCCCTCCTCGTGAGATCAAGTCGCCGCCGACCTTCCAGGGATAGCAGCAATTGGGCGGTACAGGTGAGGGCACCCCTCCCGCGTACATGCACCCGCCAAATTTTTTTCTATTCACCACCCGCGGTGGGTAACATTTAATACCCACTCTCGCCTGTAGGCGGGTGGAAACTTAGACTCACACTAGATCCTCCACCTATGTGGATATTCACTACACACTTTTACCCGCCAACATTTGTTTAATAAATTTTCTATAGAACATGTCATTATGCCATCTCTAAATTGCCGTAAATACATAATTTTAATAGCGTATAATACAAGGTAGTAGTCAAATAGTCAATATGTGTTAAAACAATAAAATTAGTCTTGCATTATCACAAATACACAAAGAATTGCATAAAAAAATTAGTACTCCCTCCGTGTTTTAATAAGTGTTACACTTTGACCGACGTAGTTTTAGGCAATTTAATTGACTTAAATAAAATAAGGGGTAAGTTTGGTAGTTAGAGTATTATAAAATTGTTAAAGAAAGATAGTGGGGTTAATAATTTATTAGTAATGAATCGGAGAGGAAATAAATAATAAAAAAAGTAGCAGTGGGTTTGGATAGGGATCATGAAAAGAGAAAGATATAATATTAAAATGTAGCTTTTTTGTAAAAAAAAAGAAGTGTAACACTTATTAAAATACGACTGCATTTAGTAAGTGTAACACTTATTTAAACACGGAGGGAATAATAGTAATAAGTTGGCTTTAGCACCACCTACCCGCAACCCACGGTGAGTATGACTTTTGCACCCATACTCGCCTACTTACACTCCAAAGTTGGACCCATACACGCTCCAACTAGGGTGGGTGCGGTGCGGAACACACAGTTTTGTATTTTCGTGAGATCGAGTTGCCGCCTCCTCACCTCTCGTGAGATTGAGTTGCCGCTGCCCACCTCTCGTGAGATCGAGTTGCTTGCTGTCGCCCCTCCTCTCGCGAGATAGAGTTGGTGCCGCCTTTTCTCCCATGGGAGCAAGTCGTCATGCCTCTTCTCCTCTTGATAGTTGTGTTTGTGGTGAGGTGTAATTTTAGTGGTGAGTTTTTGATGGCTAGGGTGGTTATGGGGTGGGTTGGTAGTGTGGTTGCGAGGGTGGGTTTGGGGTTGGTTTTGGGTCGGTTTTGGGAGTTTTGGTGGCTATGGGGTGGGTTTTTGGTGGTTAGGGTGGGTGGTTTTGGGCTTGGTGGTAATAGGGTGGTTGCTGATGTTGTATTTAGTGGTGGTGATTCATTTTGCTCTTATTTTAGTTAACACTCTTTAAGGGATTTTGCTGCACAACATAAGAAACGGAGGAGGTAGTATAGACTTCCTTCAATCTTTTTACCTGTCTCGCTTTGAATTCTAGATTATTCACCACCCTTCCTTTGACTGCCTTTTTTGAATTACTCCCTCCGTATTTTATTATTTGCTCTTTCTTTATGTGCGAAATTTTAGGAGAAATAGTAAAAAGTAATAAGTATAAAGGAAATGGAGTTAGTGGAAGAATAAAGTTTGGGAGGAAAGAGAATATGGGAATATTAAAGTATGATAGTTGGGGTCAACTAAAAGAGAAGAAATTAGTAAAATATTGTGTAAGGTTTGCAAGTAGCAAAAGGAAAGTGGAGCAAGTAATAAAATATGGAGGGAGTATATGTAAGGAAAAACATTTTATATGGGATCTTGTTAGAATTGTCTCAAAAGTAGTATCATTATATATAACTTATATTTTTTATTTATGGAGAGTTAAAGTTATCGATGGTTAAAGTTTTGCATTGACAAGCGTGATAAATGAAATATGTCGAGTAAAAAAGAACGGAGGAAGTATATAATCATGACATGTCATTGGCGTGAATTTTCTTCCTCCATACCGCCCTATCCAACACCATGTTTTCCTTAATCCCTTAAGCACTCATATCACTGTGAATCACCCTCTTCCAAGTATTTTTAGGTCTTCCCCTACCCCTCGCTATCCCAACACTTTGCAAGTCTTCGAGCCTCACTTGGCCTCCTTATATGGTTTGCAAGTATATCTAGGTCTTCCCCTACGGGGAAAAGAAGTCGCACATTTTATATCTTGGCCTTTCTGGTTTTGTACTGATACTAAGATTCGATTTCTTTTTAGCATTTTCTTAGATTGAATGATATATAACTGATCAATTCTTCTAGAAAGGCACTCATTTTGTTCGCAAGAGTCCTTTTGATGGCTCCGGATTCTCTTTTTCATAGGTCCGTGTTTCGGGATCTGATATGAATTAAATATATGGGTGTAATCCATGTTATGTTTTATTAATTCACTGTCTTGCCTGTCCTTTAATGTATAACGTGATTGTTGTATTGGTGATAAATGACTGACGTAGATGTTTTGTTTCAGCTTGGTATGATAGTTGACTTGACAAATACAGATCGGTATTATTCACCGAGTGATTTTAAGAAGGAAGGTCTTAAATATCTAAAGGTACCTTTAAATTCTTAAAAGCCCCTCAATGAACTAATTTTCTTGGTTTATATGTTTTATTGATTGACCTATACACTTTCTTTATAGATTCGGTGCCAGGGTCGTGATTCTGTACCAGATAACGAGTCTGTAAACACCTTTGTCTTTGAGGTGAGTAGAATTTAGAATGTTTTATGTGTATGTGTGTGCGTGCACTTTTAGAGTAGCTAACATATCCTGACCACTTAATTCTGGGACCTATCTGGATAGTAAATGTTAATAATGGGAGTTTTTTTTTTTTTTTTAAAATAAAATTAATCATGCTAGCAATTACTCTGCAATATTTTAAATATTTTATTGTTTTTATACCAAATACTCTACATTAACAACTAATTCACTACTCCCTCCGTCCCTTTTAGAAGCCTATTTCTAATATTTATTACTCACATAATAAAGAGAAATAGGCTTCTAATTTAGGGACGGAGGGAGTAGTAAAGTATTAATGATGAGGGAATGAATCAAGAATCAGGATTATCAATGTATAAATAATTATGTAGCATCACATTTAAATAATTGGTAAACTATTCATCCATTCTCTTTTGATTGGAACAATTTGGCTTTTGCAATATTCATAAGCTAATTTGGACCATTATTATTTATTGATACATGAAGAACAAATGTTATTATGCTCAAGGTTGTTGCATTAGAGTCTCAATGCATATTTTCAAAAGGTTAACTGTATGGAATTTTTCTATTGGATGATTAAATTACTTAATTATAATTGTTAAAATTCTGCGTTGCAAGTGTGATAGTAAAATTATTGCAGTTAAAAGAGGATAAAGGAAATATGGTAGTTTTCTTAACAATATTTATCTGGCTCCCAACATTATGTCAGAGGAGGAGTGTATTTTGGTGTAGGCTCATTCCCTCATATCAATTTTTATTTGGTAAACATACATTGCCAAGTGCTGCTCATTTATCTATATTTGTATTTTACAATCTTACATTGATTGAGGAATTTCAGGTTGCACAATTTATATTCAATCAAAATGAGAGACAGCCCAGGAAATATGTATTAGTTCATTGCACTCATGGCCACAATCGAACTGGTTACATGATAGTTCATTATTTGATGCGTACACAGCAAGCCAGTTGTGTTGCTGAGGTCAGTTTTGTTTTTGTTCTCAGTTAGCGTTTGATGTATTAATATCTGTTGCTTAATATTTTAAGTACTTTATTTTCTTATGAGCAGGCTATACAAAGATTTGCAGCAGCTCGGCCTCCAGGGATCTATAAACAAGACTACATTGATGCATTATTTGCTTTCTATCATGAAACTAGAAGTGACTTAGTTGTATGTCCCCATACCCCTGAGTGGAAGAGGTCCTCTGACTTTGATCTAAATGGCGAAGCTCTTCCAGAAGATGATGATGGGGTTCCATATACTTCGACCAATGTATGTAATTTATTTTTGTAGGAAATCATACTGCAACACACCATTATTAGTTAAACCTCGACTTGCAACTCTATTAGGTATATATGTGGCCAAAGTCCCAGAAACCCTTACTTGCATTTATGTCCTTTCCTCAAGGTTGAAAGCCCAAGTTGTGGTCCATACTTGCATAATGATACTCAAGTGGGAAAACATGATATTATGTTCTACTTGAAGTTTGTACATGAATTTAAGTATTAGTCTTAGCTCTTGAACTTGATTTTCACTTGTAACTGTAATGCAGTGCACTTGTAACTAGTGATTAGACTTTTTTCAACGCTCCTTGATAAATTATTCCATATCTTCTTCCAGGCTATGCACTTTGTTTGAATTTTCTTAGTTTGATAATTTTGTTGGTTAAATGGTTTCTGCTGTCAACTAATTGCTACAATTGCTTTTGTAGTGTAGCAAACTATATCATTAGCCTTCCCAAAAAAAAGGAAAAGGAAAGGAAAAGTAAAAGAAAAAAAACAAAAAAACACTATACCATTAGTCAACCAATTAGACTGGCCTCTTTGCTGACTTTGCTTTTAATTTTTTGTATAATGCATTTTGATGTGTAGTTTCCGTTTTCAGGAAAAACTGGAGAATGCTGTAGTATTGACCAATGATGATGTCTTAGGGGATAAAATACCTGATCAGCAAGAATATCAATTGCAGAGATTTTGCTGCGAAATCCTTAAGACTGCGGTACCTGTTTTCTTCTGAAGCTGCAAATTATATATTCTTAGGGCAATTTATCTTTGTGGTATTCCTGTTTTGTTGAACAAGATGTGTGGGTCTGTACAATGTATAGTTATTTGGCCTTTTGGGGGATTTTCCCTTTGTAGATCTTTCTTTAGTTAGCTCATTATTCAAGTATCCACTTACTTTATGTCCTCTTTAGATTGGGAAGTTGAGTTCCGTAAGAAAATTAGGGTCTTAATCTTATTTGTTCCTGTGTAATTACATTAGAGAATTTGTGGGGTGTTTAAAATTTTAGACCTTAATTCAGGTGTTTGATTCTTATTATAAGGGAGAGACCATGAGACCATTAAAAGATGAGATAGCTCAATTTTACAAATGAAGAGATATAATTTATTGAAGAAAACTTGTAAATTTTCCACTAGGCAACTTTAAAATCGTAATAATTGGGGTTTACTGTTTGCTAAAATTGCCATGGTAGCCACAATCAACAAAGGATTGCGCTAGGGTTCCTTTGAGCGAGAAAGGATATTTTTTTTTATTCTTTGACTGTACTTTGTTTACCTTTTCATACCCGAGCTTTGTAATTAATTTTCCATTAAAAGGAAAGATTAACTCCTTGAAAAGTCTCTCCTTCAGTAGTTGTTCAGTGTGTTTAGTATGAAATTTTAAGGAACTGGTTTTTGTAGGTAACACATCAGCACGACACACCCAAAAGAAAAAAAAAAAAAAAAATAGATAAATGCAGAACAACCTATGCCTCATTTTTTCATTTTAGAAGCCTTATACACCCTCTGTCCTTGAAAGGTTTATACAATTTTTTGGGTACAGTTTAAGGAGAGTAAGTGGTGGGAGATAATGGGTAATTCTTGTTCAGAAAAGAGAAAAATATACTTTTGTTGATGGCTTCAAAAGCATGATAATGGTGTTGGGTTGTCTCTAGTTTTCAGCTTTCAATTCCGTTCTTTTAAATTTTATTTGTTGCTATTTTGGAGCTATAGCATGTTGATTTACTCTTTGTCTTAGTATTGCTCTCTTTTTGTTTGTGGAGAACCTCTTGTGCTCAACCTTTTTTTTTTTTTTTTAAACAAGTAATTTTTTTTCGCTTTGTGTCTGCTTTTCAGAATTCTAAAGTACTTGCTTGTTAGATTTGCAATTTTGAGTTGTTTATTTCACTTTGGTTATTTTCCAAGATTCCTCTTGGCTCCTTAAAAATAATGTACGGAGAATTTGAGAACTACTTACTCCATTTCTCCTGGGCACGTATGCTGATGCAAATCTTTGATCAATTATATCTTTAATTTTTAATAAGTATAAAGTCTAACAATTGAAAATTAATAATCTATTCATTGAGACGATTCCAACAAGTACCCACAAAACTATATTTTTTCTTATGTATATATCACAAACATTAGTCAAAGTAGGATAAATGAATAATGGAAAAAGTAGAAATGGAGCAAGTATTTAAAAACGGAGGGAGTAAGATCTAAATATCTGGACATGTGCATGTTGGTACATATCAAATCACATGATCCTTACTACATGTTGTGCTATTATGTAAAATTTTACACATTGATATAGATCTAATATCTGCTGTACGTGCTCAGTGTAGCAAGCCTAGATCCTTACTACATGATAATGATTCTGTGTTATTTACCGCACTGTTTTATGTTGCAGGGTCGGGGAAATCTACAATTTCCAGGGTCACATCCAGTGTCTCTTGACAGGTAATGGTTGCGCTGATTTTGTTAGCTTTTATTAAAGGAACATCTGTTTTCAAAGGGCTTTCTACTTTGAATGTAGTTGTTAATCCCTTTGCCCTAAAGCAGTCTACCAAATTTACCATATCTGTTAGTCCCAAATATTCTTCCCATTTCCTTATTTGGCACGGATCCACCAATAAAAACTACTTCCTCCGTTTTTATTTACTTGACTGACATTCCTAAAATGCAAATGTCATATTACTTGACCCATACTATACTTGGTAAGCTCTTTTGGTAAACAAATTCTCTTAAGTACCCTTATAAAGTGCATGGGGGGTTAACAATTGTGGGTAAAAAAGTTAAGCATTTGCACCAACTACAATTTCTCTCTCCTCTCCTTTGATATTTTGCAAAAGGCTCTATGGGTCAAGTAAATAATAGCAGAGGAAGTATTAGTTATTATCCTCCTCTCTCCTGCCCAACTTGCCTACTCACTCAACATCTCCCCAGCGTGTCCCACTTAGGCTTTGTACAGTTCAACTTAAGCAAATATGATTAGTGTAAAAATAATCTCAAGTTTGTCTAATTAGGAAATCTGATCAGACCAGATTAGAAAAACCTATCAGGTGAACTGAACATTGCTTAAGTTTTTTACTCTCTCCTTAAACTGTGCCTAAAAGAAATGGAAAGACTAATGTGGCACGGAGGGAGTATGGAAATATAAACCATTTGTTATTTTATCTCAAGAGAAGCCGCTCAAATGAAATTGTTTGAAGGATTTTTTTTTTTTTTTTTTTTTTTTTTTTTTTTTTTTTTTTTTTGTCATCCTCAAAAATAGAATTGTAAAATGTTATAGTACTTGAAGACTTAAAAGAGACGCAGAGAGGTCTTTGTACTCAGATTTTATAGGATAATTTTACAGATTCTTCAACTTGTGTCAGATTACCTCTGTTTACTACAAAGTGATCAGCATATTGCTGTGTAAGAGGAACATTTCCAATTGTAGTGAGGGAAAAATAGAGGAAGCAGTGAAATTTACTAGGTCAATAGATGATTCAAGGTGCCGCTAGTTGCCTTCTTGATGTTGGGTTGTTTACTTCTCTACACAAGGATCCATCTGTCAGTTTCTGGGTAAAGAATGACGAAGAACGAAATTTGGCATAATACTAATATGAATGTGTTTTGATAAGCAGCAATTTTATTCTCTTTGTTCTTATATATTGTTTTTAGAAATGCTAGGCTTTAAAATATAAATATAGTTTTATTTATCAAGAATTTTAGACTAGTGTTAACTAGTTCGCTCACTCCACAAACAATGTTGCAGCTTGTTTATCGTTGTTCACCGAAAGTTTGCTACCTTGGGTGATCTAAACACCCAAATAGTGTATGATTTCACACCTTTTTTTTTTTTTTTTTTTTTTTTTTTTTTTTTCATATTTCGGTTAGTCTCTATATCCGTATAAGCATTTTGATTATGTTAGCTCAGCTCCTTTTATCCTGTGGCCCTTTATATCAATAATAGAGGGTCATGAGATGCCATTTATAAACAATGAACAATATTATGAAAAAAACGGCTCAAGAGTTTATTTTATCTTTTCTTTTGAAAGAAGACTTTGTTTTCTAAGTTGAAAAACTGTCTTCGTTGATTATTGTTTACTTGTATTCTATTACTAGTTAAAAATAAAATTGTATCAAAATAGATTTAATGCCATATTAAAGCAACAATAAGTGTACAGGATGGTCGATTTTAATTCACCTCCAAATCAGTTAGCTACGAATTATGTTTCATGTACCTAGTCATACAACAATATAGGTAACACTGTTTTGACAATAGAATCACCTTTGTTTATTCTTATCCTAAGTTACTTGTTTTATTGGTTCTCCTGCCTTTTAGTATGCTGTTGCCAATTCTCTTAAAAGTTTTACATCCAAAGGTGTATAGTATCCAGAAATTTTAATGTTAGTGTGGAGTTATACAATAGAAAAATAAGGACAGGAGAATAGTTAAAAGGAACAGTATTATGGGCATTGGCTGAGAAGCGTTTCAGAACATTTGTGATATATTCTGGGTGATTTTAGTTGGAAAAAAGTAAGACGATGCTTTGTTGTCAATATTTTGGTGAAGTTTATAGTATTAGGCTTAATTGATCATTGTGTTTTTCTTTGGGTCTTGTGTTTTAAAATACGTCCATCAATGTAGTCTGCCAATATGCAGTTGAATTGGAAGTGGCTTTTGGATTAAATATCTCTTACGTAACTCTTCCTCAATTTTGTGTATTAGCTCATGTGCTCCAGATCCTAGAATAGTCCCTGTTTCTACTCTTTTTGGATGTTTCTGTTGGCAATTTGTTGGTGTAGTTGGAAAGAAAAAACCCATTAAATTTTTGAGGATTCTCTTCTCCCTCATCAATGTTTTAAGCTCCCATATTTTAGGCTTCTCTATTGCTGGAGTCACGTATTAGGTTCTGCGCAATTTTTAATGTATCTTGAGTATGATTTTATGAAGAAGTGCTTCATGATAACTCGAGAGGCTTGAGCTGTTGTGTTCCCAGGTCTCTTATATTTTGGGTGACAACCCCTTTGTAGGGGTATTTTTCCAATATATATCATTTATATCTACATTATTATCAGAAAAATGCTTTCCACTCTTGTTTTGAGTAAGAGAAGCTACGAAATAGTTGTATTATTTACTCCATACATATTAGTTCTTGGGGCACAAATTAACTGTTGGGCTGAGGTAGGTCTGGGACTGGTGTATTGCCATACGGATAGGGAGTGGAACTGTAATATTACTTTCAGGGAAAGTGTTAATCATGTCTTTTGTAGGGTCTGCTCCTTTTGAAAGTGAAGTTCTTTTATAAAGCTTTGTCAAATATGTGATATTCTAATTAACACCTGATAATTACATTTCATTACAAAATTTCTTTTGACTACAGCTTACTGATTGCTTAAGATATGATTGAAGAATCTGTTTTCCTTTCACCTTTTTGTTCTTGCTTCTTATTCAGCTGCGCATTCTGTCTCTTCTGCCCTGTTCGTTCTCTCTTCTTTTGGTGGTCTTTTGCTATGTTCAACTCCAAAAAGTAGTTCACAGCATGCATGTTGGCCGTGCGTCAGCGCACTTCTTTGTTCAAGTTCTTGATTCTGTACCGAGTGAATCAGATCTTGTCTGAACTATGAACGTTACACTATTGCCACCTCTTAGTAGCATATCTTTGCTGGTTGTTTTATTCTGAGTCGAAATTTCCTTTGGACAACTTATTACCTGCTGACTTGAGGCCAAGAGAGTGTTTTATTAAATTTGACTATTGCATCATGGTGGTGTTTGGGCCTTTTTTTAGTTATGTCAATTACCTTGATCCTTTCTCAGTGAGTCCAACTTGATTGATGAAAGGTGAGAGTAGTTTAGAGTTTTACCAACCCTGATTAACTAATAAGTTCTCAATTAGAGCTATAGGTTGAATATGTCCTGATAATATATTATATCAGATCCTGCCTACAAGTAGATCAGGATTTATGTGAAGTGATTCATAATATAGTTCATTATTGATCATCAAATTGCAAATACCTGAATCTAGTAAGCAAGGGTTATATTCTAAAGTCATTGGTGCCGACAGAAGCAACATATAATGTTTATTTAGAGAGGTTGATGTTGATCATTCTATGATAGTATTGGAAAAGCATTTTTGGGCGTCATAGCATCTTAAACTTTTTGAACTGGCAGAATTTGTTATAGTTTTATGATTATCCCTTGCACTATTTTATTATAAACACAGCTATTAGCTGTATTTCATTGGGCATTTATTGGTTACAGGGACAACTTACAACTGCTAAGGCAACGGTATTATTATGCTACATGGAAAGCTGATGGCACAAGATATATGCTGCTCCTTTGTCCTGATGGGGCTTACCTAGTTGATAGAAGCTTTAAATTTCGGAGGGTCCAGATGCGGTTTCCATGTAAAAACATGACAGATGTATGTGGAGAAGATCTAAATAATATTTGTTTTACTTTTATACCTGAATAATTGAGCTTATATGACCTTCCTTTATTTATTTTTTACTATTATGTTGGCTGATGTTTATTTTTTCTTGATTTATTTGAGTCGCAGCTCCACCAGTATACTTTGCTTGATGGAGAAATGGTTATTGATACTATAAGTCCCCAGAGGCAAGAGAGGAGATATCTGATCTATGATTTGATTGCTATTAATCGTGTGTCCCTTGCTGAGGTTGGGTATTCAGCTTTTACTAGTTTGCTAAATTTCACCGTCTTTCTGATGTTGATTTTTCTTTGGGTGTTATTCTTTAAGATGATTCTTTATATTGTGAAAGAATAAGTTTTAATCTGTACAGATTAAGTACAGATTAAACAGCATGGAGTTACTCTGTTCATGTGTAGTTGAGTGTCTCAATATATGAATGTTTGCTGCATTGAACTTGAAATATTGTTTGGAAAAAAAAAAAAAAAGAATTTGGATTATTTTTTTTTCCCACTTGATGTAGTAAGGGAGCAGATGAGAGGGAAATTTGCAATGTTGGTCTTGTTTTATCTGGTAACTGGATATAGAATGTTTGCTAGTCAAGTAGGATTTGTGAATTTATAGTGTCAAAAATCAAAACATGTCAACTATAAAAAAAAAAAAAAAAACAGAGGAAGCATTAACTCTAGGATAAGAATAATGTATTTCAAATATTTCCAACTTTGAACCCCCTATAAAAATCCTAAAAAAACATATTTGGCATCAGTACAGGGCTAGTGGTATGAATAAAACAGCTTAGACCTTAGTCAATATCAATGAAAGAATTTAAGGGAAGAAGAAGATGACAGATTAATGAACTGGAAATTACAGCACATGTATGACATTCAAGCTTTCGAGAGGTTTGATTCTCTCCCTGTTCGCAAACTAAATGCTAAACTAACACTAATCAAAATTCAGCATGATATCCCTCTTCCTAACCTGTCCTATTCATATAATTTTCTTTCAAGACTAACTAGCTAACTTATTCCCACTGAAAGTTTGGATCCCAAAAAAATTGATTTTCTTTAAATTTGAATTACTTTCTATTTGCTTACTATGGCTTACAACTATGAGCCTTGTCAGATGAAATTGGAATGCATTAATAAACTAACAACCTGCTTTTTTTAAATCCCATTGATGGAGTAAGCTAAAGTGTAAACATGGCCCATTAATGATCTGCGTCAGGTTTGCCGTAGCCCTGCCCCATAGGACATGACCATGACTTAACCCTCCTTGCTAACAATTTTGAGTGCCTGCAATCCTGCTCCCCCAAACAGCCCAATAGCCCATTTAACCTTTGTACAGCTGAGATAAAGGATCTATTTAAATAAGTTTATAATTCTGGTTATATATGGTTCACAAGGTTCTCATTGTAGTGTACCTTGCAGAGGCCTTTTTATGAGCGTTGGAAACTGATTGAAAAAGAGGTTGTTGATCCACGTAATCAAGAGCGGCGGAATATGGACACAAATGGCAAACCACTTTACAGATATGATCTAGAACCATTCAGGGTATGTACAATTGACATTCTAGATGCTGTTATCAGGAAATACAGTATGTTTAATACTGTATTTGGCTCCTCTATATCCCTGTTCATAATGATACTATACCAAATGTTTCAGGTTAGAAGGAAGGACTTTTGGTTGCTATCAACAGTTGGGAAGCTTTTGAAGGAATTTATCCCTCACCTTTCACATGAAGCTGATGGTCTTGTTTTTCAGGTACTCTGATTGATTTTACAGTGATCTACCCCTTTTCGTGTTTAAGAGCACATGGGCTGACATAAATGATTTTTGCTTCCTTACGGTTTCACATTTCCTATAAATTGCCACTTTCCCATTTGGTTTAAAGGGTAAAGAACTCATGTCCTCAATCAATGCAACAATTTATTTTCAAAATCAAGATAAGTCAATTACTTGTCAGAACATGAGTATTTGATTTTGCAAAACCGTATCACATTCGCATTGTCAAGGTTTCTGATCTTTCTGCAATTGTGGACTTTTGGAGTTGTGGTATTAGGCCTTGATAGCTGTTAATCATTTGCTTTAACAGTTACCAGTTTCAAAAATTTATTATTGATGCTTTGAAGTTGCTGTTTTCTTCTTTTTAGCCTCACTATCTTCTACCCATATGTATTGGAGCTATTTCAGCATTTGCCTTTTTTTGTTTCTCTGATGACTCCTCTCCTTAGAAACTCTGAAATGATAATCATGCATGTCTATTCTTCTATCAATCAGGGGTGGGATGATCCCTACGTTCCCAAGACGCATCAAGGCCTCTTAAAGTGGAAATATCCTGAAATGAACTCAGTTGATTTTCTCTTTGAGGTAATTTCTCGAGCCTTGTACCTTTGTTTTTATAATGGAAAATATAGTAATTGTGGCAATTTGTGCGCATGAAATCTCTCTTTGAATACAGTCAAACAAAGTATTTTACTTGTTAAATGCAGGAAATTCAGGTGAGCCGTCTCTTCAACACTGAGTAACATTTTATTTTACTCTGCGTTGAACAAAGGCGCATCTGAATTCCCAGTTCCCTAACAGAGTGAAATCTCATCTGTAGTAAGCTAATGATGTAAGAGTTGCTTGATAACTTTTGTGGGCAGATAGGAGAAGACGGCACTGAAAACCTTTATCTTTACGACCGAGGAAAAAAGCGATTGATGGACAATAACAGGGTTACATTTGGAGGTATAAATATATATATTTTTCATCTAGTGAAGCTTTTTATTGTTTTGTAAGTAATTAGTACGAGTATTATTTATGCACTTTTGTAAAGTAATCTGTGAAGTATTAAAAACTCCTTGTCTTTATTTTATTTTATTTTATTTCCTGATGTTTGCACAGTGGTATTTAGTTGATGCTCTTTTCATCATGTCTGTTATGTTTGCAAATAACCAAACTACTATAAAGTTGAAGCTGAATATGGGTAAGAAGTATATTTACATTGATTCTGGTGCTTCTGGTTTATGCTATTTTAAGGTATTTTTTCACCTTGACTTCTGTTGGATTCTAAATCCATGCAATGAAACATAGTAGGTTCTTTTTGTTGCTATTACTTGGACTAGTGAATACGGAGCCTATGTTTGTGGTTAGATGCAGTTTTAGAAATTTTTTGAATTTGTACTTGTTATGATGCTTTAGTTTGTGGTACTCGTCTTGGGTTTTCTAGAAACTAGTCCTTGTAACATGGTATAGTAGTCGCGGAAAGAAGAGGCAGGAATCAACTAGGAAAGTAGGAAATGGGAACCCTTTAGTTAACTCCCTTGATGGGCTCTGCTGTTTGTGAGGCCTCAGCTTTACACATTACAAGTTCTTTCTGGTGAAGATAATATGTTCTAAGGATCTTCAAAGTAGGAGCCGTTCCATATTTGTCAATTCTCACCTGTTGAGGTATCATGATAACAACCGCTGGTATGCACTATGTGAAAGTCAATTTAAATGAGTGGATTAAGAGAGTTCGTGCTTAATTTTTGTAATCAAATGTATGAAAGAGGAGGTTCTGATTATAGCTAGAAATCTAGAATGCAGTTCTAAGCAAATTGTAATGTGCCGGGTAATTAGAGAGAAAGCAAAGAAATTTTCAGTTCTAGAAACATAGAAATTTGGAGGGAAAAGAATGAAGAATATTGTTGGGTGAATTATTTAGTTATTTGAGGGGAGAATGAACCCTCAAGCTTAATGTATATTTCATTGTTTGTAATTCCAGAATATAAATTAAAATTTTTCTTCTTCCTAAAATTTCTGGTCCACTTTTGCTAGTTTATAACATAAACTTGATGAGTATGCAAGTTCCAAAATATAGGGGCAATAGGCTGTGCTTTTGACAGTTGATATATAATCTCCCCATGTTTTTGGTTATGTTGGGTGATGGAGAGAAAAAAAATACCTAAACAAGTACTTCCTCCGTTTTATTTACTTGCAACAAGCCACTTTGGCACACACTGTATGGAATAATTTTACCACCGATAAGAAGTGGTGTTGTTACGGTTTAAATTTTATAGGTTAATCCGTCTGTTTCAATTCCTCAAATAGCGCGCCAAAGGTGTATTGCAAGTATAAAAAAAACAGAGGAAGTGTTGCCCTTTAGTCTTTGCTTAAATAGCTTTTACGTGGTGTAATGATTTAGATGACATCTAGATTAACTTTGGACGTCAATAAGTTGCAATATCATGGGCTAGAGTTTTATGACATTTATTTGAATCAAGTATTTACAAAACATATGTGTGGACTGGCTACGTGAGCAATAGAGTTGGAAGACATTTATCAGCTTGAAATATCTTAAACTTTAAAACTAAATTTTACTGGCAAAAACATTTTATTTGTGTAATTGATTTCCCAGACAATCTGATCCTCTGAGCTGTTGGTGACACAGACATTCTTCTTTCAGTTGTTTGCATTTACCTCTCATTACACCTTTATATAGATTTGTTTTTTGGTGATCTTGGTAGTTAATGTGATCCTCTGAGCTGTTGCTGTTATGACTTTCAGTTCGTCTTCTCCCATATGCTTTTGCAGACTCTTAATGTTAGTCAAATTTGATTACTTGCAGATGATGTGGATCCCTCTGCCTACTCTGGTAAGATTGTCGAATGCTCATTTGATTCAGAGGAAAACATTTGGACTTGCATGCGAGTCAGGATTGATAAGAACACTCCAAATGAATTCAACACCTACAGGAAGGTCCAGCACAAATGTTAAACAATTATGTTATCTTATTGGGTAATTCTTTGTACTTTTCCAACTTGTTGCGGTAATAGTAATGCCTTTTTACCGCATTTCGCAGGTTATGAAAAGTATAAAGGACAATATAACTGAGGAGGTGTTGTTAAACGAGATAGGGGAAATCATTCGCTTACCCATGTATGCTGATAGGATTCAAAGTGATAGCAGAGCCATGAAGAAAGGGAAGCCGCCACCACAGAGAAGGTGAATTGGAAATTTGTGTTGCCAGCAATGGTTATTTACTTTGAATGACCTCGCAGCAATTGTTTGTGTAATTAGGCATATTGGTAGCTTGTATATTATTATTACATAATTGTTAGCTGAGGGATTGAATCTTTGTAGGTAGATTAGAAGATGTAGCCCTTTAAAAAATTAGATGTAGTGATAGGTTATTTGTGTATATTGTCATCATAAGCTCTCTATCTTCTCTCTCCGTGTCCCGTGACTCCCGTCTTAATAATGTCTCTCTTATATATAATTTTAAATCACTTTTTAGATGCCCCTTTGAGATGAGGGGGGTTTTGAGAGAGGAGACCATTTAGTCTTTTGCTAGTAGCATCTGATCTAACTTGAAAGGGTTCACCGTTGTAGCTAAACTAGTCCTGATGTTGTATGAATACCTATTTTAGGTTCAATATTTATTTAGGTTGCTATGCCTATAGAAAGGCGTAATCTTATTGAGTATTTGTTTTCCCCTGTATTGAGGTTTCTTTTGAGTATAATTTCATGAAAACAATTAAAAAAGAAATCAATATTAGTTGAGATCAATTAGCTCATTTTAAAAAGGTAAAACTAGGATTCAACTCCCAACTACCCTTGCTTCTTACAATTAAGTCTAGCTACAGAAAGTAGCGGCAGCTCGCTGGTGGCCTCCTTTGTTCCTTTGGTTCCCGGTGAGTTGCCTTTGGCATTTAGGAGCAGTTGGTCACGGAAAGTGTTTGATTTTTTGAGATTTCAGCAGTTTAAAAGTAAATAACCCGATGGTATGTGTTGGTCTGCTTAATGTTGTTTAACCTTTGTATATTGTTTAGGTTTGATTTTTTGAGAGTCATTAGTGTCCATTATTTTTAGTTTGCTGCTAAAATGGTTCGTCTGGACCATACGAGGATTATAAAGTAGAGGAAATGCTTGTGAAAACTGAAGGTCCTGTAGAGGCTAAAACTTACGTGGCATCTAATAAGTTGGAAGAATTTTAATCTGGGTAATTGTCTCTTGCTCCTTGGTATTTGGGAATGATAAAAGAATGTGAAGGCTCTTAAATGAAAGCACCCAAGCACGGATGCACCCAAAGACATGCTGTTGCACCATATCTAAGCCCACCAAATAGCGATTCCGAATTCCATAAGTCAGATTTTTCTGGGAATCATAGATAGCCTCTAAGTTTGTTAGCTTCAACTATGTGGCATCTTCTTTAAGGAAGTTTGAGTTATTAATTGGAATTCTTAACAATCACAAAGGATCCCCCACAATTAGCACTTAGGGTCATTACATTAGTGAGCTTACAATTTTTTTATTTTTTTTTATTATTATTATTATTATTATTATTATTTTACAAGAAGTACTAAGAAACAAACACACTAAAAAACTAAAAAGACCAAAGAAGGAAATGTTTGCATAGCCAGCTAGTGAGCAGGGGAAATCTAATCACGAGGAACCTTTTGAATGTGGCAGACAGGGAAATCCAAAAGAGTCTCCCTAATTTCCTGAAGCAACCACAGGCAGGAGATGTCAGAACGATAGAAAAGAGAAGTTAATGTTGCACAGTCGGTGTAGATGAGAAGACAAATATAACCCTAGTGAGCTTACGATTTAAACAAAGAGTTCCTCATTAATATCATGGTATGTGTGCTCATATTATTTGCTACACTGATTCTTCCAAATAACCTTCCAATGATTGATCAAGCTCATTAGTTTTCTTATTATTTGCAAAGCAAATATGATAGAAAAATTTTCTTGCCCATTATCCGAAAAGATATTTAATGTCCAGGCTATTTGTGGTCACAAGATATCATTTTTTTTTTTTCACCATTGCTCATTGCTACTCATGAATCTTCACTAAGAAGCTCTGCGTTTTCTGATATACCACTCCAAAGGTTGGAAAAACATATTTGGTTCGAACATTTTGACATCACACCTCTCTTTTACAATATTTGTATCGTAAAATTTGAGACCACTAGTTGTTTGGTTCAGTTAATATCCTCTGTCGAACCTTAAAGAGTTGATGATGATGGAAAAGCAAATTAAACTTCAACTAATGCGATATCTCTAAGTATTGAACTAGTGCAGGTGAAGTTGACTCAAATTGACTCAGAGAGTGAAAGAGTAATTTGACTATGAAGATCCAAGGAGAAATAAGGGAAAATAAAGAGAATAGAAGAAGAGTTCCTCATTGGAAGTAGAAGTGACCCTTAACAGAAACACATAGAGAAACTTCCTAAAAGGAGCTGGACAGCAAGCCTAGAAGACTAACTGTGTTGAAGACAACAAGTTCCAGAAGAACTTAGTCTGCGAGTTCCAACAAGGTGCTGAAGAAAGGAAGAAAGCACCTTGCTGGAACTAGATCTGCGAAGAACTTCTACGAAGCTTGAGGAGGCAATTCAATAATAAACTTAAAGTCTTTTATTAAGGTTTTTGTTAAGGTTTATTTTTATTTTTATTATTTATTTATTTTTTATAGGATTGCTGTAAAAATGCGTTGGTTAATTATGCATGAGATCTATTAGAAACGTGATAAAACTTGACAAGCTAAGTAAAATTGAAAGTTTTAGAAAAGATAAGTTTTAATTTGTGGAAAAGATAAAATCTGGTTTACAAAATATTAATCTTTTTCTAAATTATATCCTTGTTCGATTTTCCTAAACATTTTCACAAAATGATTCATTTCATATTGGGTTTTAATATACGACAGTTTTAATATTTATCCTTTTGAAAAACCTTACATAACATATGAATGCTTCTTATATATTGATAATCATAGTTTAGAAAACTTGTGAGTTTATAGGTGAAAAGTCTTGAGAGTGCTTAAGAGTAAGTTTGCCAAGTTTAAAGCTTTATCATATTAGTTTCGGGTTTCATGGGTAGCTTTCCCATCTCATATTAGAGTCAAGTGTTTGTGTTGTTTTGGGATTTGGGTGAGTGATTTAAGTATTGCATACAATTTGTAGGCTTCTAGTAAGAAGCCGAGTTTGAATGCTATGGGAGTACTGAGTGAACTTAAGTCCGGGACTTAGGTTGGGTAGAATACTAATTCTGGAACATGTGAGTAAAGGTCTGTGATTAATAGGGCGTAACTAGGTGTTTCCCTATTATAATGGATTGGTTTGGTTTGAAATCCGTTAGAGGGTCGAGGTTTTACTTCCAGTTGGGCCCTGGAAGGTTTCCTCGTAAATATTGTTGTGTGCTTTGCAATTTCCTATTTAGTTTGTTTTAGTTTCCGCAAAAATTAGTCACTTAGAAACCTACTACAATTCAACCCCCACTCAAGCTTGGTTGAAAACGCAACATTAAATTGTCTTACCAAGCATATACTAATGCCTCCATTTTCCAGGAGCCTTTGCAAGTTTCCCAATAGAGAAGATCTTATCCATCAATGGAGAAGAGCTCCTCCACTAATTAGATGTTTATTAACCACAATCATTGGTCCTATTCGATCCAACAATGTTTATGCATGGTGTTTGGGTCCAATATACTCCAATTGGGCTGCTCACCAAATAACTTAAATAAAAGCCCAAAGAAGGTTCAACTCTTCTAAAGCATGCTAAGTCAGTTAAAGGCCTACACTAGTAGAAAAAACTAAATGGGAAGCGGATCGACCCCCCTAATGGGAAGCAGTTTTGAACCGCTTCGGTTTGGGGGGCTTGCCAATGTCCATTTAAATTGAAAGCGGTTCAAACCGCTTCCCATTTGTGGAGAATGGGAAGCGGTTTTGGCGCCAAACCGCTTCCAATTTAGCCTTTTTTTTAAAAAAATTATTATTTATAATAATAATAATATAATAATATTATTAGTGAACTTTCACAATAATTTTAGTATTATTAATTAATAATAAAATAATATTATCAATCGATATAAAATTATTATTATTAATATAAATGAAGCGGTATATATAACATGAAATAATTATGTATATAAAAAGTAACATCATTAATATATTTAATGAACAATAATATGTAATACACCAAAATATATTAAGATAACATTTACAAATACTACGTACTACTTATAAATTATGTTAATATATTAAAAACATATATAACTACTTAAAATAATGTTCATAATAATAACTAATAAAGTCAATCTAACAAACTAATATAACCACTCCGACAATTCTAGATGCCATCAAATGTCACGAAAAAGCCCACATGTACCGAATTTCATTGATTTCCTTGCTTGTTAACGGGCCTTCCCTTTGAGTCTTGCAAACTTTTAGAGAAAAAAAAAACCAAACATCATTGTCATGAGTATCACATCAAATGTATGTCAAATATTTCAAAATTAGTCACTAAAATCCGCAAACACTTAGGCATCAAAATTCACAAACAATTAGCCAAGAAATTCACCACTTTCACCGAAAATCACCAACATCACCGAAATGCACCAAAATCACGTGCAGGGGCTGCTGCCTGCCCTGGGCTGCTGCAGCTGCCTAGCATGGGTTGCTGCCTGGCCTGGGCTGCTACAGCTGCCTGGCATGGGTTGCTTCCTAGCCTAGGCTGGTGCCTGGCCTGGGCTGGTGCCTGGCCTGGTGCCTGCCTAGGCTACCTGCCTGGGCTGCCTGCAGCTCCCTGGCCAGCCTGACTGGGCTGTTGCCTTGGCTCCTGGCCTGGGCTGCTACAGCTTCATGGGTTGTATGTTATGCTTGTGTTTTGTTCGGTGCAATAATGGAAGCAAGTAATAGATTGAAGATAATAAAAGTATACCTCATCAAGGTGTTGTGCTTCCGTGTAACTATTGACTATGTCAAGCATAAACCTCATCACGTATAAGGCACAATCAAGTCCATTGTCTTGTTGCGCACACTGACATGCCACAAAGGTAATCTAATCATGCATGGCCATAACCGAAGCCAAGTTTATTAAGCATATCACTAACCCAAGGCATTACCTTTGCATATTTCCACTTAGGACCCGCAACAGAACGGCAATTTAGCTTCTTCATAACACTTTAGGAAAATAAGTTCAAAGTTAGAAACATAAATACTCAATGATTTAGGTGAGGACAATCAACAATAGGAAGCAATATGTACCTATTCAGTAGGTTCTTCACTAGCAGCTTTCGTGGTGGATTGTCACGAGCTGAATCAAAGTGGTGGATTATGTTATTCGAAACACAAATCACCAAAAGGCTCCAATGAGCACTGCATAATGTATTTAGAAAACGTCAACATATACACTCCACAGTTAACTGCATTTTCAGAATATGGAAAAAAATAACAACTGAATTATGACATTTTTAGACGTACTCCTCAAAACATGGGGCTAATATGAACTTATCTCCCGCACGCGTTAATTCCTTAATACTCCGTTCAATGTAATCTTCCACGTCACGAGGGTTGCATAAGCATCTGGTAATGGAGGTCTGCTCGGGGCAAAACCACCCAACTGCAGCCTCGGAATTGCATCCACTAATAAGGTGCTCCTGTAGTGCCCTTCATGACAGTAATTTGGGGAATGATTATTAATTAC